TCCCGCACTTCGCTCAGCAGCAAAGAACAGCTCTGACCGTAGCTGTCGTGCCACATCACCTGCACGTTTGGCGGCGCCTCACCCGGCGCCGGCGCCGAGGCGAAGCGAATCCCACGATGATGGGCGCTGGGAGTGGCCCCGGAGACTGCCACCGTGGGCGCGGAGCAGCCTGCCGCGTCAGCAGCGCCATCCCTGCTGCTGCTGCTGCTGCTGCTGCCGCTGCCGCTCTCACTGCCACTCGCATCGCTGTGCTCACTTGGCGCCGTCGCTGGTGGAAGCAGCACCGTGAGACGCGTGAGGAGGCTTTGTATGGACACAAGCAGGCTGATGCCAATGTGCGCCAGCGCCACCGCAGGGGCAGTCGACTTCGCAGCGGTGGTTTCGAATGGCAGGACTTGCGGCGCCAGAAGCCGTGGTTGTGTCTCCAGCGCGCCCTCTGCGCGTGCCTGCCCCTCCTCCTCTCCCTCCTCCGCTGCCGCTGCCTGCGGCCCAAAGCACGCGACCGCGGAGCGTCCGCTGGCGAAGAGGTCGAGCTGACGCAGGCGCGTGCCCGCGAGGTACGGTGCCAGCACACGGCGCAGCTCCTCCGGCGTCAGTCGGTCGTGCAGCGCCGCCCGAGCGAGGCCCACCGGCTGCGGCTGTGGCGTGTACAGCTCAACGGCGAAGGAGCAGGTGTTCTCCACCTCCTCCTGCAGGGCGCCGAGGTTGCGCACGAGGCGGCGCTGATGCACGCGGTGCGACCCATCCTCGCCACGCATCGTATTGCGGGCAAAGGCGGCAACAAACGCCGCACTCAGACGGTGCTGGACGGCGCCAAGAGTCATGGTGGGCCCCCCGTGGCGGTTTCCATCGTGTCGCCGCCTTCGTCCGCCGCGCTGCGCCGACGGCTGCAGCAGTCGGACAAGCTGCTCGTCTTGGGGGTACCAGTGCGTCATCGTGCACGCCCGCGGCGACAGGCGGTGGACGGCGTGCTCCGCGGCGCAGCGGTGCAGTCGCTGCAGGGAGCCCGCCAACAGTGCCCGGTACGGCCGCGGAAAGGCGGAGGTGATGAGCTGCGCCACCGCCTGCGTGCTGGGCCGGCGCACGGCGGTGTCGTACTCGCCGTGCAGCTCCTCCGCCTCCTCGACGACTGCGTCGCCGTCTGTGGCGACGAGGCGGTGGAGGCGGGAGGCGCACTGCGCGAGGCAGTCGTCAACGAGGCGGATGGCGCTGCGGTTCACGCGGTACTTGCCGTGAAACGCCAAGACGTCGCCGCCGTCGCGGCAGGCGTACCACTCACGCAGCAGCGCGCGCAGCATCAGCGGCTCGCTGAGGTGGCAGCCGTTTTGCCCCTCCGTGGAGGCCACTGCGGCCGCCACCCCCGCCAGCTCCCGCTGCGTCAGCAGAGACTGCAGGTACTGCTGCGCCGGTGCCGCCGCCTGCGGGTCGCCGCCCTGCGCCGTCATGCGTGGAAGCATAAGCAGCGACGGCACCGTCATCGCGCAGGCGATGAGAAGCGCCTCCTCCACACACGCAAACTGCAGGGCGTAGTAAACCAGCAACGCCTGCTCGTGCGGGAGCGGGAGGTACGCCACAAACTCCCCTTTCGCGGTCAGACGGGCGCCGTCGTAGCGGCGCAGCGCCTGCTCGTGCAGTTCGTCTGCGTCCTGCGCTGCGCGCCCTGGCTCGCGCTGCTGCGCCTCAGCGGCATCCTTCTCGCCGCCACCGCCATGCACCGCGCCATCAGCCTCGCCCGCGGCCAACTGCAGGAGTCCCAGTTCCACGAGCTGTTCCACGCCGCGGGCTATCGCGTCCGGAGACGGCGGGCTCGGCAAATTCCGCACCAGAGCGCTCGGGTGCGCGGGAAACAGATACTTCACGCGGAGCAGCACCGCCGCGGCGTTTGTCGTCAGGCTCTCCGGCAGCGTCTGGGCGGGTGCCACAAACCCAGACGGTGCGCCGCGCCTCAAGGACGAAAGCGCCGCCGCCGCCGCAGCGAGGGCTGGCACGGGCGTGTCGTCTGGCGCATGCCCTTCACCCTGCAGCGCGCCGCTCGCATGCTCTACCGACTGCCGGAATAGGCGGCGCGGCGCCAAGTGAATGACAATCCCGTCACACGTTCGACCCGTGCGGCCGCCGCGTTGCCGCAGACTACTGGCGCTCGCCACCGCCGTGCTGCGCAGCATGACGCCTGTGAGGGGGTCGGTGAAGAAGCGCCGCTCCAGGCAGGCATCCACGACGCAGCGGACGTTGGGAATCGTCACGGAGCTCTCCGCGACTGTCGTGGCGAGGATGATGCGGAGCGGAAAGGGACCGGCAGAGTCGTGCAGCTGCTGCTGCGGGCTTCCGACGGCCGAGGCGTGTAGCAGCGCGACGGAAAAGCACCAATGCTCGTACCGGAGAAATGTGACGTCCCCGCGGCTGCTGCTCGCACCGCCGTGTGCGGGGGAAGTCGTGTGCCGCGACGAGGGCGCGGGTGCCTCCGCCGCCGCCCGACAGAGCGCCTCCAGCGACTGCAGCACCAACGACATTTCCGCGAAGCCTGGGAGAAACACCAGAATACTCGCCGGCGGCTCCTCCTGCGCACGGTGCGATGACGGCGGCTGCGACATGGCAAGACTTTGGAGGATAAACAGCAGGAACTGCGCCAACGCGCGGGCCTGTGGGGAGTAAATATCAGGAGCAAAACGGGTGTAGGAGAAGAAGTGCCCCAGTGACTCCATCACACGCCGCGCAGGCGCCTCCAGCAGCGGATGCGCCGACGACGCGGCGGCGCCAGCGGCGGCGGTCGGCGGATTCCTCGTGCCTCCGCGGTGAAGCAGCTGGGAGGCCTCCAGGGCGCCGGGAAGATCGTCGATAAAATACTCCTCCACTCGATACGGTTGAGTGGAGACTCCGGCGGTGACGGCGGCGTCGCGGCCCTCCCGTTGCGGCGACCGCGCTGCCTCGTCAAGCAGAAGCAGATGCGGGGTAAACGCCGCCGCTGTAGTTGCCGGGAGCCGCGACGTGAAGAGCGCCGCCATCTGCTCCACGGGCAGCGTCGCTGACATCAGCACCAGCTGCCGGAGCTGCGCCTGCCCCGCCCCCTGCGCCTGCAGCTGCTGCTTTGCCCAGGCGAGGAGGAGGTCGGTCTCCATGTCGCGGCAGTGGGCCTCATCAATGACGAGGGTGGTGGGGGAGAGCGCCGCCCCGCCCTTGTGGTGCAGCGCGTTCACAATGTAGCCCGGCGTCGCGTAGACGATCTCCGTGGCCGCGGAGAAGCACGCATCACCGCCAACAGCGTAGCCAACACGACCCCCAACGTGCGCCGCAGCACTCGACGGCGAGGGGGCCACTGCCGCCGCCGCTGCCGGTGGGGCGGATGAAGCCACGAGAGCGGCCGTAAACTTCGCCAACTCCACACAGGCGAGACGCGTGGGCTGCGAGACGACAATGCATAGACGGCTACTCGCCCCAAACTCCGCCACAAACGCACGAGAGCCGCCGGCAACGGCGAAGGGCACGGGTGGTGGAAGCGGCGTGGGTGCATGGCCCACGCAAGCACCTGCGTGGGGCGCCGCCGCACATGTCGCGTCAATGCGCTGCAGCAGTCGCGCCCAATGGCACTCCAGCAGGAATAGTGGCACCAGGCTGCTTTTCCCCGAACCTGTCGGTGCGCTGCAGACGAATACATCCGTCACACTCGCAGCGCTCGGCAACGGAGTAGCCGAGGATGACGCGAATCGCGCGCTCCACGCGGATTGCTCTCGCCACACGGGCAGTCGTTGTAAGAGTGGCTGCTGGGTGAGCATCTGCTGCCAATTGAGCCGCTTACGCAGCACGTTACGTCGAAGTTTTCCTAACAGCGTGGACGAGACAACTGCCACTGAAGCAGCAGCCGCCGTCGTCGTCGTCGTCGATGGCGCCGGCTGCGATGGGGCCGCAGCCGTCTTTTCAACGCGAACCTCCTCCGACTCGGCATCCGGACGGGTCTGTGTCCGCTGCTTCCTTGCGGGTTGCGTGGCAGCGGCGGTGAAGTACTCGGCCAATACGGCGCCCCCACATGCGCCCCGTGCCGGCGCTCGCCTCGTCGCCCTCCTCGTCGCCGCCGCACTGGTCGGCCGCTTGCGCTCCGCGATCATGCGCAGCAAGTCGGTCATATTGCCGCTGCTGCTGCGGCGCGTGGCACTAGATGACGGGACGGGGGCTGCATCTGCCGCCTCCCGCTGCTTCTCCCCGTGCGTCACGGCGTCGCCCACGTCACTGCCGGGGCCACACGCGCCCCTCCCACGCATCACTGCACGACTGTCCTTCTCGGTGCGGCTGCTGCCGCCGTCGTGGTGGTGGCGGCAGCAGCAGCCGCAGGCGCGTGGGATGTGCGCCCCGGCGCCACCGCCACGACGGAAGTGTAGCGACGCCCACGCGTGCGGCGGCAAACGGCGGAGGACGCCCGCCCCACAGGCCCACCGCCGCATCGGACGTCAGCGCAGACGCACGCACCGGGCAAGCCGTAGACGACCCCCCTTTTTTTTATATATATATTTTTCGTTTTCTCTCGCTTCTGCGGAAGCGGGCGCCCCTCACGGTGGTGCGGCGTGGCTGGCGTGCTACTCGTCAGCGGCGACGCCGGCGTTGTCGCTCCCCGCACCCGCACGCGCTTCCTCCTCCTTTTTTTCTTTTTTCAAATTTTATTGTTTTAATTTTCACGCAGCGCCCCGCAGAAAAAAAAGAAGGAAAAAAAAAGGTGGGAGGAGCCACAGCGGAGCCAAAAGAGGGGGGTGGGCAGCAGGAGAGAGGCACAGGCAGAGGCACAGGCAGAGGCACAGGCAGAGGCACAGGCAGCGGCACAGGCAGCGGCACAGGCAGCGGCACAGGCAGCGGCACAGGCAGCGGCACAGGCAGAGGCAGACACTCATCCACGCGTGCGGAGGGAGATGGGC